TAAATTTCTGGCTAAAATATGAATCCTCGATCCATAATAACGCTTCCTCCAGTGAAAAAGTGGTCTGGTCTGAATCAGGAGAGAAATCTGCACAGATCAAGCCAAAACAGTCCAAAACAGCTCTAAACAAATATGTGGGTGGATTTTGATGTGAGAGACAACAGGAGATGGACTTTTCACTGGAGGAAGCATTATTATGGATTATGGACTTATATTTTAGCCAGAATCAATGGTTTGAAGTTAAGGCATCTTAATAATGGATTTGTTTCTTACAAACATGCAGCTTTTGGTTTCTCAAGACATTAACTGATGGACTGGAGTGGTGTGGATTATTGATGTTTTTATCAGCTGTTTGGACTCCCATTCTGACGGCACCCATTCACTGGTGAGCAGGTGATGTAACGCTACATTTCTCAAAATCTGATGAAGAAACAAACTCATCTACATCTTGGATGGCCTGAGGGCGAGTACATTTTCATTTCAAATGTTCATTTTTGGGTGAACTATTCCTTTAAATCTAAAGCAGTTTTGTTTTTCTGAAAACAATTAGCTCCTGAAATAAAGATCTGGTTTTAAAACTACACATGGTTTTGGTACAACATTATAACATATACAATCAGATATTATTATTACTATTTAAAATAACTGTTTTCTATTTGAATATATAGTAAACTGTAATTGATTCCTGTGATGCGCAGCTGTATGTTCAGCATCATTACTCCAGTCTTCAGTGTCACATGATCTTCAGATATCATTCTAATATACTGATCTGCTGGTAGTGTAAGTGTTTGTTGTGGACTCACCTGAACATGAGCAGGCGCGCTCAGGACGTATGTGACGGCACTGGCGATGTCTTCTGCTTTCAAACACTGTAGAAGACAAACAGCCATGATGCAGTTAAACAGCAGGACTTGTATGAAGAGACACGTCACACACACGATCTGCTTACCTTTATACTTTCATAAACAGCCGCGGCTCTCTCCGGATCGCTGTTGTGATGCCGGAAGGCAAATTCAGTTTCCACTATTCCAGGTGATATACACTAGGAGAAAAGCAAAACTGATAGGCTAATAAATATGACAATGCTGAACAGCCAATAGTCTTTTTAAATCTATTGTTATTTGCTATAATTGCTGGAACTTTTATTACATGAACCGGCATTAAATGACCGTGTTAACTGTTGGTAAGATTTCATAAAGGCTGCATTATCTACAACAGCAATTTAAGCAGTAATTAAATAACTCTTTGACTATTGGTTGACATTAACTAATAGCCAACCAAAAAGAAAAAAAAAAAAACATAAAAATGAATAAAAAAATTATTAATGAAAGAATATTAGTAAAATGCTACCTATTTAAATTAAAGCACTATTAAATTGAACTCAAATCTCAAATATTTTTTGCAGACCTTTTCCTCAGCTGATGTGTAATGATAAAACAAGCAGTTATCTGCTTTTGTCATTACTTATTATATAAAAATATATATATTTATTTTTTTTACTTTATTCTTAGGGGTTTACAAACATTTTTTTGTCATCTGAAACCAGTCATTCATTCAGAGTTATTACTTCAATAATTTAACAACACATTTGCATATTCACAGTTCTCTGATGCTGGTTAATGGTAACATGACATGCGTAAACAACTTTTTTTTTATAAGTTTTTATAATTTTCTGTCTTTATTACAATTTTTAGTTAAAGCTATAGTCATTTTATTGTGTGCCTTTGTCATTTTTATTTGTTTTTTAATATTTCTACATAATTTTCATTATTTGTATTTCAATTTGAGTTATTTTAGTACATCAAATCAAACCAAATTAAAATGAGTAATGTTACCTTGGCAACTAGCTGAAATAAAATACGTTTTTTATATTTTATTTTAGTTAAGGTTTATTTTATTTAAAGTAACAACATGAGTTTTTATGGTTTTAATTTTAGTTACCTATAATAAGCGTGTGTGTGTGTGCACAGGCTCACCGTGGCTCGGATGTGTGTTTTGGCCTCCCGTAGCTCTTGTCTCAGTCCCTCTGTCACAGCGGTCACAGCGTATTTAGTGGCGCAGTAGAAGTGTTCGTCAGCGCTGGGCACCATCCTGTGACCCCCCATACTGCCAAGAGATCATCAACAACAGCCTCGGATGAGTGTGTACAGCAGCACATTCCTGCTGTTAAACAACTCAGACAGACAGTAAAGCGCAGCACCTGTTGATGTTGATGATGTGTCCGTCATCCACGTGTCTCTCCTTCATGGACTGGTAGGCCTCACGCGTGCAGATGGCCAGAGCGAGTATGTTGACCTGCACAGGAAGACAGATGGTGTATGAATGGATGATAAAGATCCAGATCATGTCTAGATCATATTTTAAATATCTTAAAAATCTTTCCTGAATGCATGGCGCTAGCAATGCCAAGGTAATGGGTTCAATTCCCAAGGAAAGCATGAACTGATTAAATGTATGCCTTGAATACAAGGCAAGTAAAAGCAATGCAGAGCAAAAACAGTAAAACAAAAAAAAAAAAAGAAAGAAAATGAGAATTTATATTTTGCATAAAGAAAATGAAGCCTATTTTGACCAGTGTTGTTAACATTTACTAAAAATACAAATTAAAATAAGATAAAATTGGACTTTTTTCTCACAATTGTGAGGAAAAAAGTCAGAATTGTGAGATAAAAAGTCACAATTTAATTTAGATTTTTTTATTATGAGGCAGAAAATAATAAAATAAAATAAAATATAATAAAAAAAACTCTTTTTTCAGTTTTAGTAATTTTTGTTTTTCAACTTGTACTACTTGAAAATATTGAAATATTGCCTCGGCAAGTTGAAGTACTAATAACTGAATTGAAACAAAACAAAAATAAAATTACACTAAATTCAAAATACTTTGAAAAATTCTAAATGAAATATCTAAATAAATAAAAAATATTATTTGTATAAATAAAATAATAATAAAAAACAAAAGCACATAACAAAATAACTAAAAATGCAACTAAAATGAAAATATAACAATAAAAGCTAATTAAAAATATGAGTAAAAATCATAAAGTAAATAAACAGTACTGAAACATATATGATTGGACAGTTTTCTGTTGAAGCTGTCCCTATCCTGCAAAGATTAAAAGCCTTGTTTTGGTGCAGTGATTGTGTGTTATATAAGTGAGCGCTCCGTCAGTATCGTCCACCTACAAACAAATATTACAAGAGAGTAAAAATCCCAGAAGGGCCTGTACAAAGCATTTTCCCTTAAACAAACCAATTACTCTTTTAGTATTAATATGAAAATAATAACATGAATAAAAAATACAGTGTATAGTATAGGAAAAAAGACAAATGATAATGTGGCAATTAAGGGGGAAAAAAAGGAAAATGAAGGTTCCAGATGTCAATGTATGAATCAAACTCACTCAGAATGCAACGCAAAGCAACTGTTAGTTGTTGCATCTACATTTACATTCATGCATTTGGCAGTCAAAGTGACTTACATTGCACTGAAGGTTTACACTTTATCAGTTCATGCATTCCCAAGGAATCGAACCCACGACCTTGGCATTGCAGATGCACATTGCATGGGCAACATCTGCTGTCGTTCAAGCTGCTGTTCAGTTATGGAAAGTGGTTTTGAGTGAGAGCAGAACTGCAGTAAACAAATAAATGAAGTGCTGTTTGAGTGCCTACAGCAGCAGTTCATTTAACCGCACTTGATGAAGCACTTAAAAAAGAGAGTTGAAGAGGTGAGCGCAAATTAAAAATGCAAAAACGATGGATAAAAGTGTGACCTTTCCATGGCTGTTTTAAAACGTAGGCAGCATTTTTGCTTGGAAAAGCAGACAGCAACATTAGGATATTGAACAGCACTGCACTGCAAGTCTTCTCAAGTCACACAAATCAGTCGGCCGGGATGCTGCCTACATAGACGGCAAGAGTAATGATGTGTGTGTTTCTAACTCACATCGATCATATTCCTCCAGCCGTCTGTCCTTCCGCTGAGCAGCGGTTCGTTGTGAGCCAGACCGGCGTTGTTGATGCACACGTCCACTCCCTGATGCAGCGTCTTGATGGCTGAAAACATGGACAGAATCTCTTCCTCGTTGCACAGATCACACTTATACGGGATCAGAGTGCCTCTGTATCCCGCGCTCTGACACTCGGCTGCCAGCTTCTGCAAGGACAAGAACAGAAAACGTTTGAACAGTGACCTTTCAGTGTCTTCTGAGAAGGATGACGAGACTGACAGCTGTCTGAGATCATAACCAGAAAGCTGTTTGATGCGTTACTGTAAAGTAGTCAAAAAGTGACACTAAGGCTTTTCACTCAACAAAGCTGCATTTTTGATTAAAAATACAGTAAAAAGAGTAATATTGGGAAATATTATTAGAATTTAAAATAACCATTTTCTCTTTGAATAAATTGCAATATGTAACTTATTCCTGTGATCAAAGCTGAATTTTCAGCATCATTACTCCATCTTCAGTGTCACATGATCCTTCAGAAATCATTCTAATATGCTGATTTGATGAATAAAAAGTTAAAAGCAGCAGCATTTATTTGAAATAGAAATCTTTTGTAACCTCATAAATGTCACTTTTTAATTGATTTAATTAATACTTGCTGAATTGAAGTATACATTTTTAAATAAATTTTATTAACAATTAAATATTAGATTAAATATTAATACATATTTATTAAATATTAATAGATATTTGTATATATTTTTTTTTAAATATATCAATTACATTTTTTTTTTGTAAGAAATAAATATAAGTTACTCAGCACATATATGTGACCCTTGCTTTAGTTTTAGAGACTAATTATATAAATGTCCCTAAAACTAATGACTTGGATCTTCTCTCCACTATAATTACAAGAATAATAATGTTGCTAAATTAGTAATTTGTGAGAAAACAACTAATTATTGTATTCCATTCCCATACGGTGGATTGCAATTACAACAATCATTATCATGATTGCAGCATTTCCCTCATTTAACACAACCGTCCTCACCGAGTCACCATGGCAACAGAAAAGCACAGCTAAAGGTGAAATGACTTCACCCGACATCGGCATATGCATAATCAAAAATAATTAACAGTACTTTCTGATGGGCGGAAATTCTGAATCACAAAATCTACACACACTGTCAACTAATTTCTTTATGAAAAGAAAGACTTTATGGCACATGTCAAAACTCAAGATGTGTGGGACACAGTGGGACACACACACACACACACACACACACACACACACACACACACACACACACACTTAAGAAAGCTCTTAATAATAAGAAAAGAAACTTCTCTCTTAATAATAAGAAAAGAGTTTCTCTCTTTTGCTCAGAGCAGTTTCCTCCATTTACTGGCTCCTGATTCCTACTTTTATCTTTTTTCTATTTTTAAACTCATTCAATCCATCCTCTTTGCATCTGAAATCACTAAGTGGGTAAAATGCTGACAGTGATAGATGACGGGACGTGTCCAATCTCTCTCTCTCACACACACGGGTCTATAAACGGGTAAAGCATTGACAGGCTTTCACTCACTTTACATCAATAGCGCTGACAAACTGCTCAAGTCCACTCATTAACACACACACAACACATATGAGCTGCCTTATTAGTGCACTTAAAACTCTGCTTATAGAGGTTGTTCACTAGGTTTTGGAAGAGACTGACAGTCCTGTATGCGCTCTTCAGGTCTCTGGTTTAATGTAGTCCACGCTCCGACAGTGCCCTGAAATATCAGTTTATGCCTTCATGCTTCATCCCAGTTTAATAATGGAAAGAAAATTCATTTTAAAGCGATGACAAAAATGAGCTTTTAGCAAAGCATCAGGACGCTCACACTGTTTTGGCAATGCTAAACCAATGAAAAAAATCAAAATCAATGTCATGATCAAAATTGCATTATTTACATGTATCATTTACAAAAATTAACATAAGAGCAAAATCAATAATCATGTCTCCTTTGTGTCAGTTCCAAAATGTACTGACGCCCACCAATGGATAATGCACAGATTTCAATTATTGTGAATATATATATATATATATATATAGCCCACACACACACACTTCAATCTATGTTAAATATACTGGCTACTATTAAATTGTGTGCCCACACACACAAAAATATTTATGTGTGTTGTGTATATTTATATAATGTTATGCAATTTAAATGTTATATTTTTAAAATGTTTGAAATATTTATATATATATATAT